CACCGGCATGTAGCTACCACCTTTTTGTTTGTAAAATGTATTCTGTCAACATGATAATTGTAATATCACCTTTACAGTATGATGAAAGTGTAATAATACAGAATCAGACAGCATCCTGTGAGCAAGCGTTTGTTGGCACTGAGAAGGAAAAAGACCTGTTGGGGATGAGGAGAGAGAGTTTAATAACTGATAATAACAACTATTGCTTAAATGCAAAGTGGTGCATGAACACCACTGAAAAGACTCAGGGTCACCTGATCCAGCCCTAACTACAAGCATTTCCAAAGAGAAAAAAAATACAAACTGGGAACTGGTTACAGAGAAGAGGGGGCTGAAAACTGAAGGCTCTGCCTCCCATTCTACTTTTTAATACCCTTTAAACCACAAGTGCCTGTAGTCCGAGAGCGAAGCGCTCTACTGGGATACTGTGAGATCTTTAACAACAGATCGGGCCTGATTATTCAAGATCTTTTATGTGAAAAGAATAATTTTAAATTGGATTCTGGATTTAACAGGGAAGCAATGAAGCGCAGCTAATTTACAAGAAATATGCTCTTTCTATCTAGTCCCTGTTAGTAATCATGCTGCAGAATTCTGAAGAAGATGATGGGCAGCCAATCAGATGAAAGTGGGCTTACGGTGATGGACAAATAGTTTAAATTGCTTTTTCAGGACAGTGGATGAAGTTTTGCACAATCATGCGACATAAATGTTCCAGGAATACGACCACAATAATGGAGGAAATTAGTATAGCAGGTTCCTTCACAGTTTAATTATTCCATTGATGAGTGCAAAGCATGTATTTCACATTATTTCAAAGAAAAACAGGAAAATCTACATACAAACCAGCAACTGTGTGAAAAACATCATTTCACACAGTCATGGTTTATTGTCAATATTATATCGATCCATGGTTTATTACTTATATATATAATGTGACTTATTGACAAATAATTTAAATCCCTTTAAAAATAAAATCAACTAAAACAAACAAAGAAGCCTAAAGCAAAGCCTTTTTTCTCTCTATGTGGGGTAGTTTAGGAGTTCACAATAGACAGATTATGTATACTGACTGCACCATACTAAACCAAATATGTATTTGCACATGCATGCATGAATGTGCAAGTTAGAACTATTTCCCTGAATTGTCAAGAATTTAATTAAACCAAAGCTAAGATGACTTTACAAATTACATTTTTTCCCACATAAGAACCGTCAGTTAGATTTGGTCTCTTTAAATCTCTGAGGTGAAACCATGTCACCTATAAAATTATGATTCTGTGACAAATGATATTGAGCCTTATATAGTTAACTGTCCCCAAAGGATTATGAAACAAACTTATGACGTTTATTCTATTGCTGAGAATGTGTAGGTCACAATAAAGCAAATCGGTTTTTCTAAAGGGGTGATGTGAAGCAATAAATGACTTAGTTAAGTTAGTCCCTTTATGCAATTTGTCTGGAAGTAATCTGATAGCTCTGGGAATAAGATTTTATCCATTTATTTTTTATGTCTTAAAAACACCTTACTTTTAATACACTTAAAGTTTTTTTTTCCTGCACCCTGAACCGTACCTCTGTTTATGTCCTTTGGTATGATTATATTCCTTTGTTTTCTTCTGATTCCTAAAAAAGCATCATCCACTGCAATTCAGTACATGGAAAAAAGATTCTAATTTTAAAAACTTGTTCCCCACAGTATCACTCTTCAAGGCATTAAACCATGCAGTAGAGTTTACTGAGCTGTATCCAGCACTTCCCAGAAGAAATGTCCTCTGCATGACTTCTTACAGAAGAGGAAATGAAACTCAAACAATAACAAACCAAATGAATTTGTGCGGAACTATTTCTAGCTTGCAGACACTTGTGAAATATGAGTGAAATAAATCAGCTTTGCCTTTCGGAGGACGTTGGGGCATCACAGGTCTGCAGCTTCTGCTATGTTACTACACATCTCATCGTGCCACATTTAGAGTGCTGAGCAATGCTGAATTTATTGGCAAAAATTGCACATTTTCATGGATCAAAAGGATTCTGCCTCGATTCTGTAAACAAGGACAAATATTACCTTTTTTGTGGTTGTTTTGTAAGTGTTTGAGTGTGCTTCTTTCCATTTTTACAGTCTTTCAAAGTTCAATATGTAGGTAAATAGACAAAGGGGGAATAAGGTCAGTGCGATGTTTACCAAAATATTCAAATGGTGATAAAATACATACACCTTGTTTGGAATGTAGCTGCCAATAGGAAAAGTCAAAAAGTCAGTTGGGTGGTGAGATCTCGGCGACAAGTTATTCTGCAGTGACAGATGACATTTCAGTGAGATTTCATCTGGAGTACTCTGGCGCTGAGGCAAAGCTGGCCTTTCACTCTGTCTGCCTAACTAGCATTCATCAGCAAACGCTCACACACAATATCCGCACACATACACCACCTACACAGGAACAGAAAATTTAAATGGCAACTGGCTCTGTGAGTGTAATGCCCCCTTTTGTTGTTGTATTGTTTCAATGGTTTTAGATTCTGTAGTCATCAGTAACTTGCAGTGTCCTTGTAAGTTTTTCCCATTCACATCGTTATGGATATTTTTTCTCCCATTAGTCTGTTTTCCAAAACTTCCAGTAATGCAAAATTCCTAGATTGAGATTGTGGTGCATTACATCAGTGGCCCATGGCTAAAAGCAAGTTCTGCAGGTAGAAGGATGTTTTATTCAATCCTCCTTTATTCCTTATTCTTTTTCCTCTTCCCTCCCTTTCTTACCCCATGTTTTCTCTGTTATCTCATTGCATAGGCTGAACATGTAACAGCCCACTGTCCGAGCTATTCAAATCAAGGTTAGCTTGTAATACATGTATTCCTGCCTTCATTTTAAGTTCAGAAGCACAGCAGTAGGCATGCATAGAGACACAGGGTGACAAAGGAATCCTCCCCCAGTGATTTATTTGAACTTTTCCTCCCTTTGAAATGGCATCACAGAGGCTCTGCATGATTAATGTCATCACACTTATATACACTGTTCTATCCAGCTGCTCTATCCAGCTAAATATTTGAAAACCAGGAACTTCCCAATTCATGGTGAAAGGTCTGGATATAGATTGATGTGAGCATTTTCAGCGTTTCCAATTGCTACACAGTCAGCTGAACATACCCAACAAGTAACACTCCAGTGGTGAATTTTACAATCTATGCAAATAAGCTAATAGTGTTTATTTGTAATATTGTATTGGATAAAATTGAATATGAAAAAAAGATGCACAATAAAACAAAAAGCGATAAACAAAAATAAAAATTATGATCTCAAGATTTTATCTTGGATAAGAAGGTGATTTCTGAAACATTCTTTGATTTACTAGTTAGTTCACTAGTTAGTTGATTATGATTATTATTCTCGTTGTTGTTGTTTATTGATTTATATTGAAGCCCAAATGCAGATATTTCTGAATGAATTCGAGCTAAACAGAGTACTAGTGGAGTTGGCCCCATACATAGAGCACAAGCGGTTGCTGAATGTTTTGATGAATATGAATATTATAGTAATCACAAGCTACAGTATTTCCTCCAGCTCTAGAAACTTGGAGAAGTGACGCCACAACTTGCCAAGCTGCTCCGATGGCACGCTGTAGCCCTAACTAAAACACTATGCTGGGATTTCCCTTTTATTCAAACTCTTAAAGATAAGATGTTCTTTTATTAACTTTTCTCGAGCAGATTTATTTTAATTATTTTAAAGTTTTGGCATTAATTTTTATGTATATGTAAAAAGAATGTTCACAGTAACTTGCGTACATTGACAATAAATATTATAAATATTGACATTTATTATGGTCAGCTGTTCATGTATATCTGTATATCATCACGGGCATGGTTGTCGTGGTAACAGCAAAATATTTAAAAGATCCAAAATAAATTCAAACTTGTGATTCTTGTTATTAAAGATACATGCTGTACACTCATTCCATCCTGGATAAAGAATAGTTCAAAGAAACCATTAAACGACTTAATTTAATTAACAACTTAATTAAATTACCATGACAATGATGCAGATGATGAGTAGATGTAAACTTCTCACAGCAATTGTACTTTTAAAACCTAAACATAACAAGCTAAATTTAGAGTTTAAATCAGTGAAAATGCCTTATCAACTTTTCTTTACTTTAAATTAAAAAAATAAATAAATAATAATTATTATTTGATCAAGTGGAAAGTACCTGGACACAAAAGTAATTTCCCCAAACTAAACAAAGAGACACACTTCAGTACTGTGGAGATAATTTCATTTAGACGACACATCTGTTAAGTGTTGTTGTTCCTAGAATTTCACGGTCTGACTTGTAGCTGAAATATTCCTTTGCATGGCTAATTCCTCAATGATGCAGAGCAGCAGCATAGAGTGTCTTCCTGTTGACTCCATGCTGAGATTCTGATGCTTCACTTTGCACCTTTTACCTATGAGACTAAACAAGAAGATTCATCCAGTGAGAGTAATTGGAACTTTTCTAATTATTGCCACAATCATAATCATGCTTGTACTGCAGCACTGCCTCTTTGGACTCTGGGGTTCCACTGCTAGGACGGGCACACAGTGGGAAAATGCTAATCAACATCCTGCCTTCATCAACTTATTGGTGACTGGTACACAGCAAAGAGTCTCTTTTCTCTTTTCAAGGGTGGATGCAATCAGACGCAGCACCCATCCATATTTCTTTCCTGAAAGAAAAGGGGAAGCAAACATCTTTGCAGTGGCTCCCCAGGACAGAAATAGAATCTGAATTGCAATCGAACTTAGGGAAATGAATCCCTCTCTGTTTAACTATCTTCATGAACTAATATGCTTGTATGATGATCACTGCAAATGATGTAGTATGCTAAAAAAAAAATTTCTCCATGAAGAATACTGTTTTCTCAATAACAATATAAACCAGTTCACAAGATACACATTATAAACTAAACTTTCTTCAGACCTGTTCACATACAGTTTAACAGCCTGAAAATGATTTCTTACCTCCTCCCACTGGTGGATGTAGCGAATGAGTCTAGAGAGGCGCAGGAGGCGCAGCAAGCTTAGTATCTTGGTAAAGCGGACAATGCGTAAGGCGCGTGCTGTCTTGTAGAAATCCGAGTCAATGCGCGTCTCCACAATGAGGAAGATGTAGTCTACGGGGATGGAGGATATGAAGTCGACCACAAACCAGCTCCGCAAGTACTTGATCTTGATCTGCTGCGGATCTAAGATGATTTCTGTGTTATCTTCCTTGACGATACCCGTCCTGAAATTAAGAACCAGGTCCATGAGGAAGAAGGTGTCGGAGACAACGTTGAACACAATCCACGGGGGGGTGTGCTCATCCTTGAAAAAGGTGATGCCCACAGGGATGATGATGAGGTTTCCAACCATCAGCAGCAGCATGGTCAAATCCCAGTAAAACCTTGTTGGTGAGAGACATGGAGAAATGCAGAAATATAATGAATAACAAAGTCAGAATATAAAAATATGAGGTAACTTTGTTGTGTTTGTCTTTCACAGAGTGAATGTTCTATAAACTGCACAATTTAACTGCCTGCAAAAAAAAATAAAAGAAGACAACATTTTGTACATATCGATAGTGTCATTTTCTTTTAACTTATAGTGTGAGTATTAAAGTGGGCTGACATATACATATACAGCATAAGGCATAGTCAAATAAAATATGCATGTTTGATGAACTGAGGAGACCAACATTTGTTCTGTGTGAGATAAAACTTTAAGAAAAGGAATGTGTGGCCTCTTTTTCTTCCATCTGGCAGCTCCATATTTCATTCCATATTTATTGTTCAGTGTATCCACTATCAATATATCTCTACGTCTTGGATCTCCTCTATTGTACCAATTTCCCTCTTATTTACAAAATCTCTTGCTTCTACTGACTTTCATTCCTTTCCTCTCCAGAGCATACCTCCACCTCTCCGGGCTCTCTGTTCCACCTGCTTCCTACTCTGACTAAAGATCACAATGTCATCTGCAAACATCATTGTCCATGGAAACTCCTGCCTGACCTCATCAGTCAACCGGTCCATCACCAGTTCAAACAAGAAGGCGATCAGAGTTGATCCCTGACACAATACCATCACGCCTTGAACCCATCTGTTACACCTAGCACATCTCACCATTGTCTTGCTGCCCTGATACCTGTCCTATAACAACCATACATACTTCTCTGTCACTCCCCTTAAACCTCTGCACTTTCTGATTCACTAACTGTTCAAAACCAGCCAGCATCTCCTCACCCATGTTTCCTTAACCTACATGTGAAAGGAAACTGAATGGTCCAATCACTATTCTCTCTCCCTTTGGAACACTCAACTGCTTCATCCAACTTACTTATTAGAATTCCTCTTTCTGATATTAAACCTGTGGGGCATACACACTGACAGCATTTAACATCACCCAGTTCCCTTCACCTGTCAGAGTCCCTGCCTTTCCTTCTCTCTCATCACTGACCTATTTTAAGCTTTTATTACTATGTATGTAGTGTTTAGCAAGCTTACATGAACATGGTGTAATAATGGTTTAATAAACTCTGCACTTATGAGCGTAGCCAATATGTATCCATGACAAAAAGGGGGCCTGATATGAAAACATGTGTGTAGGCATGCCTCTAAATCACACCTCAAAGGTCAGCGGAGGTTAACTGTTAATTAAAAACTGTACTGTGACCTCGTCAATCTTCCAAACCAGAGAGTTTGGATATAAATTGCGCACTCTGCTGGCTCAGTAATTGAATCATTGTGCATTGATGCAGTGATTGGTGATTTACCCACCCACTTCTAACTGGGCCATAAAAATTTGTCTTTGGACAAAACTTACACCAAGAGCAAGGCTATAAAAATGAAGAAGAATGGATGCTACATATATAAACAAGATAGGATAGAGATTTTTACTGAAAGCTCCCTAAATTACAACAATAAATTACTGCTGTTTGACTTCTTTGTTGGAGCTAAAATCGGTAGATTTCATGATTTATTCTCAGTATGTTTCAGTAAATATTTCCAGTGTTTACAGTGAATTGCTGCTCCACAGAATCACACAGTCACATCCAAAAAACATCCCTTGTCCAAATCATGTTAAGTTAGATATACCAATATCAAAAATGTAAGATTTGTCCTGTTGTTTGTTTCTGTATTTCTTTTGATAAACAGTTACAACTAAAACAACAATTTCTCTAAGAAATACGAGACATATGTGTGATTAAGCACACATTGTCATTACACACCTGTAATATATTCACTGATCTTTCACATTGCAGCAGTTTGAGTCCTTTTAACTGTACACAAGACAAAAAACTTTTGTTGATGCAGCAGAAAAGCAAACATTGGAAATCACTGCTGTTTGCAATATAGTATCCCTATTTCTGGTTCTCATTGTTATGTCTGAGCACACAATCTCTGATGCACACATCTATGGATGGAATTTACATCAGTCTGGGTGAAAATGTTAAAATGTTTCTTCAAAAATAGCACAAGCAGTTATGAGGTTTGTAATGTGTTTAGACAGTTCTACGCCATGCAGATATGTACACTACATCTCAGTTTTATGTGCATTGCGCACACAGACACATTCACTGAGGAAACAGTGACAGTAATTGGAATTCTTCAAAGTAAAAGGGTATCTACTTTTCCAGATTGTTGTCAAGTGGAGTTATATTTAGACCGACCCTGCCACCACTGTGTGCTCACATTAAGACTGAAACCCAAGAAGGACAAGTAAAACTTTGAGGGAAGAAATGCAAACATTGGTAAGGGCATTTGTGCTTCATACTGCCATGTTTCCCCAATATCAAACAATTTAAATGAAATTATTTACATGAAATAAAGTTTTCCTTTTGTCTTACAGTATTTGTAACTTTCATTTTACTACTTATATTTGTCATGAAGGTGCAGCAAGACACACAAATTTTTCTTAAAATTCAAGATTGAGTTCATTTCCTCGACAAAGGCAAGACTGTTTTTATTATAAGTGATCAAACATTATAATTTTGAGGAAAAAATAAAAATCAATGAATGAAAGCTTAAGGGAAATGTTTTTTCTTTTTTCCATGTTTGTAAAACATGCATGAAAACTGGTTTTCATGCCATAATAACAACATTTACGACAACTTTTCCTGACATAAATTAGTACCATCTAACAAATAAATTCAGTGAACACCTCTGTTTAAAATGTTTAAGGCCTAGGACTAAGATTAGTCCATGTCTGGGAAACTGAGCCTAAAGGTCTATAGCCATACTAATAAGTCTGTGAAGCTGGATTCAGCCAGAGTGGTGCTTTGCCTGTACAATGTCAATAATAACATGCTTAAGCAGATTTAAGAGCAAATATTGCTGCACAATAAATAAATCTAAATATGAGGCAAATGGACCATGGACTTTGGACTTTGGACAATGGACTTTGACCAGACAAAGCAGGCGCTTTGTAAATGCACTCAGAATTTTAACTGGGTATCTTTTAGCTACAGAGAAAAGGAGAAAGCAAGCTATAGAGATATAGACTTGATAATTGTCCAAGTACTGCTGACACCTGTTTGATCAAACCTCACTTATCACTATTGACACAATCATTGATTAAAGAAAATACAAATAAAAAGCAAATCTTGACTCTGATAATTATTGATTTTGCCCCAATACAATATTTTGGGATAAGCAGTTACTTTTAAAGAGCAGTGTAAAAATCTCCATGATCTCAGTGTGTCTCTATCAATAGACTATGTTTATGTGTATGTTTGTTCATGCATGCATGAATAAATGCTCATGATTTCTCTTTTTCAGTCTTGTAGCTGCCTTCTAATGGAGGTCAGGCCACCTAAACATAGCAAGGATCCATTTACTGTGTTTTATTATGCACTAGGACCCTGACATAGGAGACATTGTTCTATAAATATAGTCGGGTGAGCCTGGGATGTTAGACGGACATTTCAAAGGCATTAAACAATCTCATATCTGTATGTGCACAGAAAATCAGAATTTTCACCTGTGTGATGGGATACCACCTGTTTTAAAATAAAAGCAAAAGGAAGTCAGCTAGTATTGCTAGGTTAGCAGTGCTTTTATTTTGTTACATGATTGTTAAGGTGCTCCCGATTGATGCTGCGGTTATTATGGACACGTAAGCACAAACAAAAATGTAAAACTAGCAAGGTGTGAAATGCATTCTAAATGTCAAAAAATTAAAAGTTTTATTCAGTAAAGAAATACTACTTCTATGTCTGGATCTGAGTCCATTACATCAGTTCTACATGAAATAGTCTTTTGTAAAACACAAAGAATAAAACAGTGACAAAGTGCCTTACAAGTTTATAGCAAATTATGGAAATATGTGGCCAGAAATCACATTTTATGAGCAATTACATGACCGCTGAGGAGTATCAGAGATTGCATGACAAAAAATGTAAATAACAGGAAGGCAGGTTTGATGGGTGTGTGTAAAACATATATGTATATTTTTTATTAATTAGTCTAGAAAAGCATTTTTTTAAAAACTAAAAAATATAGCCGTGGGATAGCTCACACCTAGCTTGTTATGATGCTCAGAGTTCACTGTACCGATGAAGGGAGCCCTGACATTTTGCTGTCTGCAGGGACAGAGTCACAGACCACTATGCTCTCCGGTGGGGTGACCAGGGACAGCAGGAACATGTTGTCACCCTTAGAGTGCATCTGACTACACGATAAGCCTTTCTCATTCTCCTCACCCTGCCAGCCAGGCTACCTGAAAGGGACTATGAGAGCCACCACAAACAGCCTTACAGTACACATGCTTACCTTTCAGAGTAGCTTATATCTAAATTGAGGAGGCACAAGGCTAGGATACGAAAATGGAGTATATACAGTATGGGATTGAATATACAGGGAGCAAATGTTCATAATTTTGTATGTGTGCACGTCTGCGCACCTGTTTACATTTTGATTGTAGAAATATCTATCTGCTGGCTACCATGCTGAGAAAATGATGGATCCCATACAATCGGATTGACTGTCGTGTCAGAATCGGAAGGCCTTTGATCCCCAGCTCCTCCAGTGAGAGTGAGTGTGATTAGATAAATGGCTCTACAGTTTGTGAATGTGAATGTGGCTTGTGCTGTAAAGCACTTTGAGTGGTCAGTAAAGACAAGACAAGTGCTGGAAAAGGAACTAGCTTTAAATGTCAGTCCCTATATCAGTCCAATCTGATTACTGCAGAGCTATACACTCTTTCAATACAAACTTCAGGTGTGTAAGACAACATGAAGATTTTTCTTCCATGTGGAAATGTCAGTTTGTATGTTTTCATATACAGTATGAGTTATTTCACTGAAGCTGTTAATCTGTCATTAGCTAAGCAGTTTAAACCCACTAATCTCACAGTATATATATTAAAACTGGTTTGTTGACCCATATAACCATTAAGATTACTTGG